ATCGTTGTGGAGTAAGTTATATATTGCCTATTTCACCGTTGTGGAGTAAGTTATATATTGCCTATTTCACCGTTGTGGAGTAAGTTATATATTGCCTATTTCACCGTTGTGGAGTAAGTTATACCGATCAAGTATAAGTCGCTTGTGTTGGTAAATTATCATTTTCTTAACTACCTGCTTTAATCAGACAATTTTATATGAAAAGAAATAGATTTAAGCCAAAGTTTCGAGAAAGATGAATAGTAATATATATATATATATATATATATATATATATATATATATATATATATATATATATATATATATATATATATATATATATATATATATATATATTCAGTTTTACAGAATCAATTTTAATTTGTTTTAAGCGTTTAAAAAATGCAATTGCTTTTAATTGAAAAATAAAATGGAGTTAAGCTCAAAAGGGTACTTAAATTATTACTTTAAAATTGTCCAAATGTTCAAATGTCTAATCTCTGATCTGTCTAGTTTGTTATGTCCAAATGTTTAAATTCTAGTCTCTGATCTGTCTAGTTTGTTATGTCCAAATGTTTAAATTCTAGTCTCTGATCTGTCTAGTTTGTTATGTCCAAATGTTTAAATTCTAGTCTCTGATCTGTCTAGTTTGTTATGTCCAAATGTTTAAATTCTAGTCTCTGATCTGTCTAGTTTGTTATGTCCAAATGTTTAAATTCTAGTCTCTGATCTGTCTAGTTTGTTATGTCCAAATGTTTAAATTCTAGTCTCTGATCTGTCTAGTTTGTTATGTCCAAATGTTTAAATTCTAGTCTCTGATCTGTCTAGTTTGTTATGTCCAAATGTTTAAATTCTAGTCTCTGATCTGTCTAGTTTGTTATGTCCAAATGTTTAAATTCTAGTCTCTGATCTGTCTAGTTTGTTATGTCCAAATGTTTAAATTCTAGTCTCTGATCTGTCTAGTTTGTTATGTCCAAATGTTTAAATTCTAGTCTCTGATCTGTCTAGTTTGTTATGTCCAAACTAATGCCCTCTAGTCTCCATTGTAGCTTGACATCTGTTTTCAGTCAAATGTTTGTTTATTTCTTTTGATAAAGCGTTAAAGTGACTCTACATTTTTATAAATATATTTGTAAATATATCAGATAGTTTTAGTTTTTTGTTTGTTTATGTATCAAAAATCTATACATTTGACTAATATGAACACCACAACTGACAAAACAAGCGCTATAACTGACGTACATAATCAACGTATCTTACATTTACAAATATATAACTTACCCGTACAAGCACCTAACTACATATATCAGCTTAGTTATAAAAGAGCTTTACCTTTCATATACAGTCACCATGGTTTTCGTATAAACGAAGCGCAATACAAACATTGTAATGATAGCACGAATACACACGTTGATTTTAAAATTTTATTTCTAAATCCACTCCAGCCCCACCCAACCCATCAATCATTACAAATCTTTGGCCTTATACTCACAGCTTGCTCAAGTTGGTGAGACAGTTCAATCATAAACATAAAAAAATCAAAGCAAAACATGGCATATTAGAAGGGCAATTCGTTCACAATTCACAGACATTCAAAGTTATTTCCCTTCTCTTCGGTGTGGGAATCTATAGCAAAAATCGCTCTTTAGCGAGATAAAATACGTTCTGGTATGTCGAGTCATTTTATCTTCTCATGTAAAGAACATGCAGACTGGTGTTTCTTTCAGGCACTGCCTCACTCTTCGAAGCACGTCTACCCCCCCCCCCCCGAACAAAATAGAATTTATATAGAAAATATATATGTTTACCATTATTCGTCCCCCACCCCCCTCTCCCCCGAAAACAGTCTGAAAGAAACACATTGGTAAAGCTAGTTCTAATACATGTAAATACAGTTATTGTGTTGCTAATTTAGCAATAAAAATAAAAGTGAACATTTTAAACCAATTTTCTAATACACGAAAAAAATAGATCATCTCACACAGCAACTTAAAGAGTAAATCAATCTAATAAATAAACTCACTCCATACAGTAAATTCCTCAATTTTTTTTACAAAAATAAAACACAAAAAAATTAGTTGAAATTTCATGGCATGGGAAAATAATATAAATTGTAGAATAAACACTCACGTATATTTATTTACCAACAAAATATGTCTAGAAAGAATCTCTCTTTTCTAACCGAATATATCTACGAACGCCAGTTTTCATACACAATATATTACTGACAATACATGTACAACCTCTAGAACATATGTCACTCACATATGTCAGTGATCCTACAGAACTACATACATGTCAATCAATGTACAGCAAGGCCGATCAAGAACGTCAAGGTTTATCACACGGGCCGGCCACTGTACACTTATTAAAGGACAACCAAGGCCTAGTACAGTAACACTGTGGTACACTTATTAAAGGACAACCAAGGCCTAGTACAGTAACACTGTGGTACACTTATTAAAGGACAACCAAGGCCTAGTACAGTAACACTGTGGTACACTTATTAAAGGACAACCAAGGCCTAGTACAGTAACACTGTGGTACACTTATTAAAGGACAACCAAGGCCTAGTACAGTAACACTGTGGTACACTTATTAAAGGACAACCAAGGCCTAGTACAGTAACACTGTGGTACACTTATTAAAGGACAACCAAGGCCTAGTACAGTAACACTGTGGTACACTTATTAAAGGACAACCAAGGCCTAGTACAGTAACACTGTGGTACACTTATTAAAGGACAACCAAGGCCTAGTACAGTAGCATTGTGGCACATCAAACACTGAGGTCATACAAGAGAGTTGTCTCGTAATTTGATGATCTCGGTTTACACAACTTGACCAGGGACGTCACAAATTGAACACTTATTTTACAGCTAGCGGTTGTTTAGGTATTTCTTTTTTTTTTTTTTTCTTTTTTTGTTGCCGATCAATATTTGATATAACTTATTTTGTTATTGTAGAATTGTTGCATACTTTACTGACAAACACAGTTTGTTCCCGTAATTATTAGTTATTGTTAGGCTTTACCTAGATGTATTGGGATCAGTTAACGGTAAAATTTAATCTGAGTTGTATGAATATAAAACTGACTTCTGATATCTGATGTAGCTAATAAAAATCTGAGGTTTAGTGAACGATGGGTGGGAAGTAAAATATTTCTCTGAAGATGAAGAGCTTCAAGACGTTAGAAATGTACAGGTGACGACGTTGAGTACTTCATTAAATCAAAGTCCTGCTATGCTGGAGACAGTTTTCTAGTTGGTGTACAGAGATAATCGCTGGAAACAGAACATAATCTTTTACAACATGATTACGTCATGTTACGTCATGACTGTCCATGTGACAAGGACCGACTACATCACAATTATCCACGTGACCAGGACTTCCATGTTTGACAACCATCAAACACATTATCTTAAATTCTGAGCACACTAACTACCAAATGTATCCCTAACACAACTTTATACGACCAGTGCATACAGGTAATGATGGTCTACAGTCTACACAAAGAGAGCTTACAGAATGTTTAACCCCCCCCCCCCCCCCAACCATTATAAAAGTCATATCGCCTACCTGAAATATATCACGGAGAAATCAATAATTTTAGAGTGAGTGTCCATCTTTTACTTTGAATCAGTTTTTAGGCAAGGTTTAGCTTGCCAGGCCTACTTAAAGTTTAGACAATCTAATGTCAAGCATTATGGACTTTGTCTATACTAAAATACTTTTAAGACGTTTTATTAAAAATACACACACTGTCTTTATAAGAACGGTTTGTCGTGTGTTTGTTTACATTTGATGAATTATAGCCTTAAGTTAAAAGAAAGTGAATTGATTTTTAGATCGAGTTGTTTGTGTGTTGTACAGTGCATGTACTATTACACATGAATTTGTTTCACGTTTTCTACTTAAAATATGTTCAAGTCCACTATCAAATATACCACAAAGACTACACAGTCAACATAACACAAAAACTATGACACCAGAGGCGTAGCGAGTGGGGGGGGGGGGGGGGCGGGGGGTACAAATGTCCCCGGGCGCCGACCCTAGGGGGCGACAAAATGGGTTGGGAAACAAATTAAAAGCTCATTTTAGCTGCAGTTTTGCATTATAAATATAAAAAATATATGGGGGAGTGGGCGCCAAATTGAAAGTTTGTCCCCGGGCGCCGGGAAGGGTCGCTACGCCTCTGTATGACACAAAAACTACACACTGCCCCCACCACATCCTGCTGCGTCTAAAATAAAGGGAAATATTTTAGCACACAATTTATGGTACAAAATATATGGTAGCTTACAAAATATGAAGAAATATTTAAAAGAGCAAAGAAAAACAAAGCATAGAATAAAAATGTTAATACTATAACGTTAAAAAATAAAATGAAAACTTGAAATTATTGAACTAGCATCCTAATTTTAGAGATTTTTAGCAAACGCAAACATGTAGTGATAAAGGCTTGTCTGGATTGTAAGTCATGAACGATGAACATTGAACAGAAAATGTGAAAAAAAAGTAAATAAACGCAATATAAAATAATGAAAAAGTTTCACATATATACCAAATCTTTGGTTAATAAAAGAACGTTCTCCAATAAATACCAACAAAGAACAACTGGCCACGATAGACCGGGTGTTCAGATTGTCAACATTGAAATTTGTGTTCATCTTTCTAAACTTTAAGCCTTTTACACATTGTGTGTGTTTTTGTTTCGTCCGTTGGTTTTCGAGTTTCTAGTTTTTAAACCAACACCATGGTGACGCAGCGTGACAGATTTGGGTCACGTGACCTCCTGCACGTGCTACTGCATGTGGGCGACTTACTGGAGATTGAGTCATCTCCCATTGACAGATCATGTAGGTGAGTGGGTGGGGGATGGGTGGGTGGATAAGTCTTGATGTATTGCGTGTCTATTTATATCCAGCGGGAATTACCAATCGCGTGGCGTCATTTGAAACGCGTGATGACGTCATCAAATTTGCGGTTCAATTTTTTTTTTTTAAAAGAAAAAAAAGCTCATAAGGATTTAACATCAGCGGGGTGTGGGGGCGGCACAGACATTCCATGCACATGCGGGTCGTGGGGGGACATGTCGTCGCGAGATAGTCCTCCCTCGCCCGAGGCGTTCTCCGATTCACTTCCGCTTCCATCCCCACCCCCCTCGTTATGCGTCTTGACGTGCTTGCTGAGATGGTCGCTGCGCATGAACCTTTTGTTGCAGACAGGACACGCGAATCTCTTCTCCCCGCTGTGGGTCCGCAGGTGCCTCTGAAGCTCATCCGAGCGGGTGAACCGCTTCCCGCAGAAGAGCCAGTTACAGACGAACGGCCTCTCGCCCGTGTGCCAGCGTAGATGTGCCTTGAGGTGGGAGGTTTTGTTGTAGACTTTCCCGCAGCCCGGGATGTGGCAGCTGTGGATGTTCCGTTTCCTCAGATGTTCCCCAGCCGGACCGAGCCGGTCAGCCTCCTGACAGTTGGGACAATCACAGTTAGAGCGGCCGGTGTAGCGCCGCTGGGTCCGGGAACTCGGGAGTCCGGAAATTCCCGAGCGCGTGGCGGCGAGGAACGGCGACATGGAGGCGGCCCCGAGGTCGGATGGTGACGTCAGCATGGACTTGTACGTGCTGTAGGTGTCCTGTAGGAGGTGCTGGCCCGAGGACAGGAGGGCGTTGGGGTTGGAGCCGAGGGCGTGGCTGAGAGAGAACTCGGAGCTCGGGTAGCTGGGGGAGATTTGAGACCTCAGGGCAGCCGCGCCGGAACCGGAAGCGTCAGAGAGCCAGGAGCTTGGGTTGGCGTGGACGTCCCACCACGCGGCGGCGCCGTTGACTGAGGATGGCGTGGAGACCTCGGTTTTAATGGTAGGGTGCCCGGCGGCGTGGGGGTTGCCGACGTTGAAGGGCCAGGGGTCGTAGGTCAAAGGGTGCATCCTGGAGTACATGCTGCCCAGGGCAGGGCCGCCGAGACTGCTGTCGTGGACCTGTGGGGGAGAGAAGCAAGTTTAAAATCATGACATTTGTTTTAATTACTGTATGGCTGAGATAGTGACTAATGATAACATCAACAGATATTTTACATTTCGCTTTTCAAATTAATAATTAAAGAGAATAATTAGCAAGGCGAAATCATTTGTCTTGTATGGAAAAAAACAACCGTGAAGAGAACAGAAGAAATAAATGTTGAAGAAGATATTAGCCAAATTTGGCTAACTTAGAACATTAGCGTCTGAGATGGGTGTAGTTAATGTAAACGATCTTACTGTGACTCTATTTAAATAAATCGTTTGTAAATATCCAATCGTTATAATTGTTGTTGAAATTGTTGACAATTAAAATGGCGAGATTAAGCTTTTATGGCATTTCTAGAGCGTTATCACGTCTTTGTTTTATGTTTGCAAAACTAAATATTTATTATAAAATGTGTTTTCTCTGCTAAACTATTAAAAAGCGAAACAAAAGATAGAAGAATGTGAAACACACCTTATGTTGTACTGGCGACTGAGAGCCATCATTCCCGTAGGCCCCGCCCCCTCCTGAAGAGGCGGTAGAGAAAATGTCATTGCCGTAGAGAGATCCGCCCCCTGACGAGGCCATGGAGGTCACGGACCGCCCATAACCCAGGTAGGAGGCGCTTGTCTGGGCGGAGCTTAGGTTTGACTTCTGGATGGAGGCGCCACTGACGGCACATGGGCTGGGGCTGGCTGGTTCCGCCTTCCTCCAGGGGTGGAATCCGCCCTTGAGTGTCGGGGAGTCGCTGAATGGGGGCGGGGATTTGCTTGTGATTTTGTTGCACTGTGCTGCCAGCATGGCCAGGGGCGTTCCGGGACCCAGAGGGTGGGTTTCCTGTGGGGGGTGAGAAATTGTTATATCAGATACAATTGTGGGCAGTTGTGTAATTGTTTACTGTGGGGGGTGAGAAATTGTTACATCAGATACAAGTGTGGGCAGTTGTGTGATTGTTGTGGGGGGGGGGTGAGAAATTGTTATATTAGATACAGTTGTGGGCAGTTGTGTAATTGTTTGATGTGGGGACTGAGAAATGATTTTATCAGATACAATTGTGGACAGTTGTGTAATTGTTTACTGTAGGCATAGGGTTAGGCATGTAAAATAGCACATTAATATCTACACAATATTGAAAAGTTAAGTAGTAATTGAACTAGGTGAAGTATTTTGGCCACGCTATAGATACCACACCCCCTCTCACCCTTCACTCTACAAATGTCCTGATATATTCTTATCAGGCATCCGGTAAAAATGTCAGCGTTTTGTAACCGTAGTTTTCTGACTTGAACTAGTATCTGATTTAGTTTACCGCACCAAATTATCCTGTACTTTGATTGACCGGATGTAATAAAGATGTTTTGATTGTTTCGTTTAGCGAGTCATCTTTCTAATCTAATAGCGAACGTTTGTGTGTATAAACATATTATATGTGCGCTGAGTTCTAAGATGACAAATACAAATATATTTATATTTGATAAAATTACTACACGGCCGGGCAACTGCACAGGTTAGAGGGGACATTGATCAGATAGTTTAATGTAAGAACGTTGATGTATCTGTTTATTAACATTGGTCAAATAGTTAAATCTTAGAACGTCGATGTATCTATTTATTAACATTGGTCAAATAGTTTATTAATCTAAGAACGTTAATGTGTATGTTTACTAACATTGGTCAAATAGTTTGAGAACGTTGATGTGTCTGTATACCAACAGGCCAAGAACTAGTTCAGGATCGAAAAGCAGGTGGTTTTGCTTGTAGTTAGTTTCGTCAATCACAAAAAAAAATTTAGCGTGACAAGAAAAAAAGTTTTTAGCGTGAAAAAAAAAACGGCATCTAGACGCGAGTAAAATCAATGACACTGTTTCACGTGTACGCCTTTTCTCTGCCAAGATGACATTATGACATATATGACGTAGTTAAATGTCAGTGAAGATATGAAAACACCTTCCCCAGTTTTAGCAGAAGGCTGGAGATTCTGGCAACATTCAGGGGATCGATACTAGCTGCTTCTTGTAGAATCGATACTCCGCCGCATTAAAACAGCAGCTGATGAAAGGTGATCAATGGAAGGTGAAGGTCGTTTGTGACTTTTTAAAGTCAGGTATGAATAGGTAAAGTTTTGTCGGTGACTTTTTAAAGTCAGGTGTGAATAGGTAAAGTTTTGTTGGTGACTTTTAAAAGTCAGGTGTGAATAGGTAAAGTTTTGTTGGTGACTTTTAAAAGTCAGGTGTGAATAGGTAAAGTTTTGTCGGTGACTTTTTAAAGTCAGGTGTGAATAGGTAAAGTTTTGTCTGTGACTTTTTAAAGTCAGGTGTGATAGGTAAAGTTTTGTTGGTGACTTTTAAAGTCAGGTGTCATTAAGTAAGTTTTGTTGGTGACTTTTGAAGTCAGGTGTCATTAAGTAAGTTTTGTTGGTGACTTTTGAAGTCAGGTGTCAATAGCTAAAGTTTTGTTAGTGAGGTTCCCAGACTGCTAGACTTTCTACTGACACATGTGGAACCTGTTCAATGATGTAGGTTATGTCAGTGGTGGATCAGTTTGGTAGTGACACAAGTTGGTGTTATGTTAATGTGTAGAGTGATCAGCTAGGTGATAGGTCAGTTCGCGGGTAGGTCAGTTCGCAGGTAGGTCAGTTCGCGGGTAGGTCAGCTCGCGGGTAGGTCAGCTCGCGGGTAGGTCAGCTGCCTTCCTACCCAGATCAATTGCAGTCTACCTTTACCTGCCTTCACGCCTATTTCTCTTACCAGATCATGTTTTAGTTTTTCTATCCAATATTTGTAGGACCCAACAATACCAAAATATAACACATGGACTGAAGGATATCTCAACAATTGGATCGTACATAACTCTTTTTACACGTCAAGAATGTTACGCACATACTTTCATTGATTTCTTGTTTGTTTATATATATATATATATATATATATATATATATATATATATATATATATATATATATATATATATATATACAGACATGCACATACACACACGCAAACGCACACACTCGCCCCCCCCCCCCCACAGACACACACCTACTACAACCGGACACACACGCACACAAATACACATACATAGATACCCACATATATATTTTTCCTTTGCCATTTACAAGAAAGTAAATCGAAGATACCATTGATGGTAATGTGTAGGAGGATTAAATACCGCCATTTAGTCTGTACAAACAAACGTAAAATTGACATCAATAATTGTTTCGTTAGTTTTACAAAAACTACTCTTCGTCCTAAACATAGACATGTAGAATCACACGAATACAATAATTAGTGCTTTAATTGTTCTCCTACCTCTCGTACCTACGCGGGGTTTGGTGAGTAGATAATCGTTACACAAAAAAACACATTCGGAGAGTATAAGATTTAATGGTGAGGTTTCCGTCAATTAGGATTTAATTAGAAGATAATGGTTTGCTTTTTGTTTTGCCGTTTGCGTAGTCTGTATTTCAGAAGTCTTTAGTGAAGTCTGTAGTTTGTGGAAGTCTGTTGTTTAGTCTTTAGTTTAGTGATCCGGGATTATTTGTTTAGAGATGAGGTTTCGTAATAAGCTTCCGATTGAAAATCCATTGTTCCGTAGAGTAGGAATTAGAAAACCGCCCGCATAGGATTTGTGTTGTGATTGGAAGGACTTTAGCGTGAGCCACACAGAGCTGAAGACTTGGTTGGGTTGTGAGGGTGACCGGAAAGATGAGCAGACGGAAAAATACGCAACGGAAAACTGCGCACAAAAATGTAGACAAGGGAATTTATTTTCTCTAAATCGATAATTTATAGACGTTAGCTAAGAATGACTACACGTCGTACATTGTAGTATAATAAAACTTTTTGTCTACGAAATGTAACAAAATTGAACTGTGTTGGTACCAATATTCCCTCTAAGGGGAAAAGGCTAGTGTGCTATTTGTATTTTGTGTGCGCGGTGTTCTAAAAGTCTTAGAAGGATATATGTACAAGGATATATGTATTTAACAAAAGGACTGCGCGGCAGGTTCAATACTACTGCGCAGCTGCGCAGCTTAGAGGGAACACTGGTTGGTACAGTTGGTTTGTATTTACACATTTTTCTGTTTGCGCATTTTTCCGTCCCTTTGCGCATTTTCCCACTCGCACAATGTTTCCTTTCGATGCGCAATTTTCCGTTCGCGCATGGTTCCTCGAACAGGTTGTGAGATATGGAAAAACCGAATGTTTGTTTGAGTCTATAGTTGACACTCTGTCTTCTGATGTGGTTGTCTTACTATAAGGAAATTAATATTTGATTGTGTCTACGGGTACCCAGGCTTAATTGGAACTTAGCTCCATAGTAATAGTGAGAAGTGATTAAAGATTAACGAGACAGTAGCAGCATAACGGTCAGACATGACCTATGTTCTCTATTAGTGGGACAGAAGCGAGGCCCCACAATACTTGCAAACATACCGCGCATCAAATGAATGAGACAAGATGTCTAAAGATGAATAAGGCTATAGACGAAATATTGATGCTGATACTTGTTGATGTAACCATAAACTGTACTGGTCTACACTTCAAGCGCGCGAACCGCCGACTGTTTTGAAATGAAGAAAGTAAAAACATCGGACAACATGAGAGACGAAACACTTTAAAGGTCAAAGGTCGGTTGAAACTGAGTGCCCGACGACCAAACGTCATTTATTTATGATATAAGCTAGTTACATATTTATAGATAAATATTTGTATTTATATAGATTGTAGGCCCAGATTTCTGTGAAATTGTCGCTCCCACCCCAGGCCTAGTCGGAGGTGAGGAAGCCCGTCTCCCCTTTAGAAAACAGCAGATCTAATTAATTAAAGCAATCATCTTTACAACAATAACTTAACCATGTGTTGTATATCGAGTGTGGTTGAAGAGTGTTTGGGCACAAGTTAAAGCGGGTGGGGGAGAAAGGGGAGGGAGGGTGGGGGTGTGTGTTAAAGCGGGTGACGATTGCGAGGAGGGTGGGGTAGAATCCGATAGTGCAATGTATTTTAAACCCAGAGCGTCGGGTATTTTCTGTGATGCTAAACCCACCGACTTACCCTGTCGTCGATTAACTATTAAACCCTACCTAGTTAAACTGTTAAACCCTACCTAGTTAAACTGTTAAATCCTACCGGTTAAATTGTTATACCCTCCTTAGTTAAACTGTTAACCCTACCTAGTTAAACTGTTAACCCTACCTAGTTAAACTGTTAAACCCCACCTAGTTAAACCCCAGACTATGAAACTGTTGACGGTCAGCAAACATGAAGAGCTTAGAGCAGACTATAGATGACGTGTTTGGTCAGATTCACGCGACACTGGACGACACAGGCTGGTGTAGTAGAATCTCTAAACCCAACACGGCCGGTAACTCTCCGCGATTTATGGCGGGGTTACAGAAAGGGAGATCATTAAAAAGGGAGACAACTCAAGTTTTAAAAATAAATCTCTCTGTTTACGACTCCGATGTTTATCTGATGTTGCTCGCGGTAGTGAATGTTGTGAGGCGCCCAGGTAACGTAACACCCCCTGTGTCCCACCCGCCCCAGCCCCTCCTCTCATTCAGACCCTAAACTTGACGGCAGTTTCGGACATTATTAAAAGATTTTCTTGAATTTAATGGCGGCTATTTCCGGTTTCGTTCGATGACCGCGCCCCAACATGGCGGATGTGAATAGGAGGATGGATTTGACGTCAAGGTTTAATTATAGGCTCTCGTGATCCCGTCCCCGGGTAAACGGTGGGGATTGTCACGTGAGGGGAGGGGTGGGGGGAGGGTGATGAACGGCCTGGCCGCCTGACACCTGATCAATGGGAAAATATTTTGGGCCGAC